TCTTTCTCTGAAGATCAGCCCCCTCAGGTCCTGTTGGCTGCGGTTTGTGTCAACCTGCCATGTGACAGGAGGATCAGACATTGACCCCTCTGAAGCAGGAGGCTCCTGCCAGCAGGGAGGGAGGAAGGGGCTGGGAAGATGACTAGCTGTGGTACAGACAGTTGGCTTGGCTTCTTCATGGGACACTGATATAATACAATTGCTACGGGTTATTAAGTGCAAACAGGATCACTCAGGTGGAAGTGCTAAGTGGGGTTTCCTGACCGGTGACCAATCCACCCCATCAATATTATATATGACCAGATACATGTTTTAAAAGAAAATGTGAATGTCCTCAGGCAAGCTGTGACCCCAGTCTCCATCATGTCCTGTTGTCTTATACTTGGCTTCACTCATCTTGCTTTCTGCCTGGTCCCTCAAAGCATTTACATTTGCAGGCCCTGCAGTAGGGCATTGTGGCATCCATATTCAACTAGGCTTTTTCTGTTTTGGGGGGTTTTTTGAGTTGAGGTCTCACTTTGTCACCCAGGCTGGAGTACAGTAGCATGATCACAGCTCACCACAGCCTCAGATGCCTGGGCTCAGGTGATCCTTCCATCTCAGCCTCCTAAGCAGCTAGGACCAAAGGCACACACCACCACGCCTGGCTAATATTTGATTTTTTTGTGTTTAGAGACAAGGTCTCACTATATTGCCTAGACTGGCCGACTAGTTTATTCTTATATCATGCAGTTAGAACTTGGACAAAGTCCCTTATCTCTTCAGTAGATTGAATCATGTGTTGGGGGAGTTTGGATCTGGATATTCCAGTCCCCTCTCCTCTGGCCCTCACTTTCCCATGAGAGGTGCAGGCTGACCGTGGGGCTGTCACCAGGCCCCTGACGGTATCTGTACGCCTGGGCTGCCTTTGGACATTGTGTTTCTTCCTGAGGCACTGAAGCCAACCAGGTGTGGACAGTGTCTCTCCTGCAATGTGGACCTTCTCACCCATTGATTAAAAAACAGGCAAGTCAACAGAAGACCAGAAGTGCTCCATTCCAGTGTTTGCAGAGTGAGTGCTCATGGTGCTGCGGGGGTTTTGGCTTTCCCTGACATGCATCTCCTGCCCATTTGAGAGCTGTAGATGGTCTACACAAGCCCACATGCAGCACCAAGTCTTTTCTTCGTTTTCTTTCTTTCTTTCTCATGTGTTTCCTTAAAAAACAAAATCCAGCTGCTTCCTTGCCTCAAGATGTACATTCCACATTTTGGCAGCACTGGTTTCCAAGTTTTCTGAGAAAAGACTTACATTTATTAGGTTAGTTCACAATGTTCTTGCAGAGAACTTGACTTTGCAGCAAGGAGCCATATGTGGTTGGGTTGTTTTTAAGATAAATACTGTGAGAGACTCGGCATCACATCGCTGGCAGAAACGTGGGCTACGCCTGCCGCTCAAATAATTATCACATGTGCTTTAAAGACCTGGCTCATGGAGGGAGGGGATGGGCAGGAGTGGAAGGTCAAATGGACATTTCTGCTGCACTTGCGCCTGGTCGACGCCCTGAGTCAGTACAGAGTCCCACAGCACTATGGGCGTTGAGAAGCCTCTGGGAAGGCTGCGTTACTTGGGATGAATCCATCATCCACTCTAGATCTGCTTCTCCATCGCATTAAAGAATACAAAGAGCATTAAAGACTGGAAACTGAATAACAGGTGCTTCTGCACAAGATTGCAGCGTTGGGGGTGGGGGGAGATGTTTTGTTTATCACTGATGATGTTCACGTTTTATATGTTTTATCTCTAAAATGAGAAAACTGAGAGGGCATCTTACTTTTTAAAACTAAAATTGTACTTTCTTAGCATCTAACTGGGATCATGTTCACAATTACTTAAATGTATGCATATGTATACCCATATGTATATGTATACCCATCTACATACGTATACCCATCTACACACACACATGAGACACAAGTACAGACACTAGCATGTAATGCAAACTGCTGGCAGTGAACCTAGTTCACTGCAGAACATTGATTCCCAGACTTTTGGATTTCATGATCCAGGAATATAGAAAATAAAAAGAAATTGAGGAATCCAGCATGGATTGCCAACTTCATGGTTTCCAAGATTGTTTAACATTAAAAAAAATTATTTGTGAAATATACATGAAACTTGGCATCTTAACCATTTTAAGCATTCGGTTCAGTAGTCTTGGGTATGTTCACACTGTACAATCCAGGATCATTTTGCAAAAAGGAGAGCAAGACAGAAGGAGTCTCATATACTGTCCTCATCCTTTCACCAAGAAGAGAAACACAAGGAAAGAAGCCTGTCATCTGAGATGCAGTTTTCATCCCTGGAAAAATCGTAAGCCAGAGAAATACATAGCAAGGAGCTTCAAGTGCACTTCCCAGATTTTTTTTTGAGTTGAAGTCTCACTCTGTCGCCCTGACTGGAGTGCAGTGGCACACTCCCAGCCACCGCAGCCTCAACCTACTGGGCTCCGGTGATCCTTCTGCCTCAGCCTTCCAAGTAGCTGGAACTACAGGTGCGTGCTACCACGCCCGGCTAATTTCTTTTTTTTTTTATTGTAGAGATGAGGTCTCACAAAGTTGCCCAGGTGGGTCTCGACCCTGTGGGCTCAGGCAATCCACTCACCTCAGCCTCCCAAAGAGAAGGATTACAGACTGAGGCACCGAGTCCAGCTTACTTCCCAGATTTTAAACATGCAAACCTTTTGTCATCTTTGCTCCAGATCATTTATTTCTACTTAGAGTGCTAGGACATGGAGTGTTTGTTACCAAGCCACCGTGAGACACAGAGTTTGTGCCAGAATGAGGTCAGCTGTACCGCTAAGCTCACAGTTTAAAAGATGCTCACAACAAGACTTTGTTGATGAAGGAAATTGTGTGTTGATTGACATTCTGACATAGCACCTTACCATAAGTGGTTCAGACTTTGCATGCACAGTTTGTGGGCTGTGCTGGAGCTCTGCTCTGGCCTTGGTTTCGCTTTTATATAGGTAAAAGTTGACAGTTAACAGCCGAAGCCCACATATATTCATTCCACTATGATCTCATCCTCCACTCTTTCTCCTGCAAGCCAACTAGTGTGCTGAAGGTGCTTTATTTCCCCAGGCCATATTATATTTACATGAGTTCATTAGCAGTACAGCGTGCCATTTTGTGTAAGTGGAATCCTAATGTATTCAGCCCTCACACTTAGTTTAAATTGTTTTTCATAACATGGTTTTGAAGACTTACCCATCTGATACATGTAGATCTGCTTCACAGTATGGCTTCACATGACTGTACCATGTTTCATTTATCTGTCCTGTTGATGGACATTTGGGTTGTTTCTAGGTTTTTGCAAATACAAACACCACAGTGTATGTTCTTATAAACCTCCCCATGCACACAGGTGAAAACTTGTCCCAAGGGAGTTATATGGCAGGAAAGTCACTGGGTCAAAGATGAAGTGATCTCCTCGTTCACAAAATTTAATTAGCATATTACCCAAACCTAGCTGATTAGTACAGCTTTTCAGGTCGATAGAGTGAGAAAGATAATACTATAAGTCAGTCATTAATGAATGTGGTTTTCTGAGCTAAACTGAAAGCTGCTGATTGCTCATCTACCTACGGTTTAGCTCAGAGTCTAACATAAGCACAACATAAGAGATGATCTGGCCGTTTGGAGGAGATGACTCTTCTTTCCATCTTAGATGTGAGGTGGGGACCAGGAGGGTGAAGCAGCCCTTCATTAAATTTCCTTGTTTATATGTGAACTAGAAAATGTTCATAGCCTGGATCTGGGAGGCAGATGAACCTGGGAGTTGCTGTCTCTTGGGCTTTGTTACACATGGCTTTTTTGGTCCAAGAAAATCCCTGGTTTAAAGCTTAGCCGGTCTTCTCTGACAAGTTTCTCAGCAGGTGTCTCCAGAGTGGCTGTGCTGGTGCTCAGGGGGTTGGGTGATCAGAGTTTCTTCCAGCCATATAGGCTGTGTTGTCTTTGACACAGGTGGGGAGCTATCCAGGAAAGAAGCAGACCCGGGTTGTATTAGAGTTAGACACCAGGGGTGTGTCCTCCAGCTGGCCTGGTAGGAAGTCTGAGGAGGCTCCTGTGGCCAGTGTCCTGGGCATTGCCACTATGTAGCCTGCTGGGAGGACCCAGGCCTTGACTATGGGTGAGTCAGGCTTTAGTCTCAAAGGACAAACTGATCACTGAGACAACGTTTAATGTGCTTAATGTTCTTTATTCCGCAGTCTTCTCTATTATCTTTTTTCTTTCTTTCTTTCTTTCTTTGAGTTGGGCCTTAACTCTGTCACTCAGGCTGGAGTGCAGTGGTACAATCACAGTCCACCTCAATCTCAACCTCCTGGGCTCAGGTGATCCTTCTACCTCAGCCTCCTGAGTAGCTGGGACTACAGGTGCACATCATCATTCCCAGCTAATTTTCGATATTTTATAGCGATGAGGTCTTGCTATGTTGCCCAGGTTGGTCTCGAACTCCTGGGTCAAACATTCTTCCTGCCTTGGTACCTCGTAAAGTACTACAATCATAGGCGGGAGCCAAATGCCCAGCTCTCTGTTATCTTCAGCAAATAGAGTGTTTTGAATACTCTTTAGAAAATATTAAGTGGAAGACAACTTGGGGAGAAAAACCTATAGAACCATCAAAGAAAAAAAGTAAGAGACTGAAAGCTTTATCATGTGTGAGCTCTTCTAAGCCTATGGAAGAAACCTGGGCATGGCCATTCCCACGTACCACATACCATGTTGAATTATGGGTGAGGAGAAGTCTGAGAGCTATTACTCGTGTGAATGATCTGTTCTAATGATCCAGGCGCCTGTCTGATCAGCGCTTTGTGTATGATTTCGTAGATCTGATACTGTGGGGTGCCAGGTTATCAGACAAAAGACTTCTCAATGGCTCCCACCTGGAAAGCCGCTGGTGTGTTGACATACAAGTGTGTGCACGCATGTGTAAAATTGTCTTTTTCTTTTTATTCAATCAGCTGTCAAAGCTTGAAAAACAGCAGCAGAGGAAAGAGAAGACCAGAGCAAAGGGGCCTTCTGAATCAAGCAAGGAAAAAAACACTCCCCGGAAAGAGGACCGCAGTGCCAGTAGCGGAGCCGAGGGTGATGTGTCATCTGAGCGGGAGCCGTAGGCTCAGGAGGCTGAGTCCAGGTAGGAGCCCCTGGCCTGGAGGGCTTCCTGTCCCCACATGTGGGGCAGCATCCATGAACAGGGGATGGCATGACTATGGAGGCAGAATTCATGTCACAAGTGCTCATTCTCAGTTTCCTTCAACCTGCTGCCTCCCAGGATGGAGAGGAGAGTCAGCAAGTAAGATTGTACACGACACATTGAGATAGGAGGTGGTGGACTGCGGGCCAGGGCTGCTCACCTGGCACTTCTATGCGTGTCGCCTCCTCGGATGCCTGCTCCGTCCACAGCAGCTGCACGATCCACCTTATCAGAGTGGGAGAGCACCCGCAGGCAGACCCCTGGCCAGGAGCGGCGCCGAGCCCCACCATTCCCATGGCACCATTCAGAGAGGGCACCGTCACCTGCAGTGGCCTCCCCAATGATCTTGTCCCTTGTGTTCTGCCATCCTTCACCTGGCCCCACACAGTATTGCCATTTGCTTTTCCTAAAGTGACGCTTTATTCCTGTCATCCCACGCCCAGGGCTATGTTGAGGTTCCCTGTAGCCTTGAGTCCACTTCCCTGCCGGGAAGTCAGAGGCCTTGAAGATGTGATCCAACCATCCGATGAGCCTGTGTTCAAGTGCCTCCCTCAGTGGACATGTTCTTGAGAGCCTCCTGTTTTGCCAGGGACTGCACCAAACACTGAGTGCACATGTGAGAGACCTGGGCCCGATACCAGGGAGTCACAGGTTCAGGGAGGAGCAGGGAGATAGTGGTGCTTATGGTGGGGACGTGATGTGGGGTGGGGTTAGAGAGGGAAGTCAAGAACCAGGAATACAGAAAATAAGAAGAAACTAGGGAGTCCAGCATGGAATGCCAACTTCATGGTTCCCAAGATTTAAAAAAAAATTTTTTTTACATTATGGTCAAATAACTCAGCAAGGTCTTATTTCCATCCCGCTAATTTCTGGGTGACAGCGAGTACTTTATATAACCTCTGCTTCCTTGGTTTTTCTTCTCTTAAGAGGAAAACTCATGTCCTTTAGCAGAGCTGTTGTGGGAAGTGGATGTTGAAGTCATGATGCCAGGACCAGCCCCAGCAGGCTGGGTGGGGAGGGGCAGGCTGATACCCCCATGTTTTCATGCTGTCTTTCCAAGCTTCCCTGGCCCACAGGTGAGTGGGGCAGAGAGATATGTCCCAGCACCGTTCCTGTCCCCTGGATAAACGGTGCAGGGACCGACAACTCATTAGTCTGAGTTTTAACAGTGGGCAGTTACGTTGCACAGATGTTCACCTATCTACACCCAGCATGTGGGCAGTGGCCCCACCCTAGTGCTATTCACTCTCTGCCCACTCAGGTGTGGCCCCCAGTTTGCCCTCCAGTTCCGAAGAGGACCATGCATATAACCTTCTCCCCAGTTAACCGGGACCTTAGCAACAAGTTTAAAACAACTTGAATGTTCAGACTCCCATGAAGAACTCGATGAATGGGGGAAGGATAAACATCTAAGCACTTGTCCCCCAGTAACCAGACTCAACCTATCAATCCAAACACAACACATGCGCACACACACACACCCAAATGCAAATGTGCCTTGTAGTTTTGTATTTTCAAAACAGCTTTAAAAATTCTAATACTGCCTTGCTGATTCCTTTCTGGTTTGTACTGTTAACCCACTAACATGTTTTATGCACTTAATGTCTTGATTTTTTGCTTTTACTATATCTGATCAGTGCTTTGAAAATCTTTGTTTTAATCCTGGGTCAATGCAGAAATTAAAATATTTCTTGAAACAAATGAAAATAAAGACACATCTTACCAAAACCTCTGGGATACCATGAAAACAGTACTGAGAGGGGAATTAATTTCTTTTTGAACACGAATCAAGAAAATGGAAAGATCACACATTAACAACCTAACAAATCACCTACAGGAGTTGGAGAGACAAGACCACCAAAACCCTAACTTCAGCAGAAGAATCCAGATCACCAAAGTAAAAGACCAAATACAGAACATAGAAGACAAAAATGTCATAGAAAAAAATTGACAAAACAAAAAGCTGGCTCTTTGAAAGGATAAACAAGACTGATGGACCCCTAGCCATACTGACAAAGAAGAAGAGAGAAAAAGCCCAAATAAACATAGTCAGAAATCCAAAAGATCAAATTACAATGGACCCTGAAGAAATAAAAAAAATTATCAGAGATTACTATTCACACACCTGTATGGAAACAAACTTGAAAACCTAAATGAAATGGAGGACTTTCTGACATCACACACCTCCCCAGGTTGAAACAAGAAGAAATTGAGACATTAAGTAGACCAATAACAACCCAGAAAATAGACTCCATCATAAGAAAACTACCCACAAAAAAAAGGTCTTGGACCAGACAGCTTTCCAGCGGAGGTCTACAAAACATACAAGAAGTAACTGATACCAATCCTATTGAAAGTATTCCAAGCAATTGAGAAAGATGGAACTCTCCCCAGATCATTTTATGATACCTAAACCTGGTAAAGATCCAACAAAGAAAGAGAGCTACAGGCCAATATCCCTGATGAACATAGATGCAAAAATATTCAACAAGAGTCTAGCAAATCAGAGCCAACAACACATCTCAAAAATCATCCACCATGGCCAAGTAGGCTTCATCCCTGGGATGCAGGACTGGTTCAGCAAGGTCCACAAGACTGTAAATGCAATGAAATACAACAACAGATGTAAAAATAGGAATCACATTATTATATCAGTAGATGCAGAAAAGGTTTTCAATAAAATCCAGAATCCCTTCTTGATAAAAACCCTTGAACACCTAGGCATAGAGGGAACATACTTCAACATAGTAGGAGCCATCTATAATAAACCCACAGCCAACATGTTGCTAAAAGGACAAAAATTAGAAGTGTTTCCCCTGAAAACTGGAACAAGACAAAGCTGCCCACTTTCACCACTCTTGTTCAACATACTGTCGGAAGTCCTAGCGAGAGCAATCAGACAAGACAAGGAAATCAGGGGTATCCAAGTAGGGAAAGAGGAAGTCAAGCTATCCCTCTTTGCTAACGATATGATCCTATATCTTAAAAACCAAGAGAATCTGTCAAAAACCTGCTTTCACTGATAAACGACTTTGGCAAAGTCTCAGGGTACAAAATGTGCAAAAGACAATCACATTCTTATACACCAACAACAAACAGGCAGGTGACCAAATAAAAAGCACAGTCCCATTCACAATAGCTACACACACACACACACACACACACACACACACACACAAATGAAAATACCTCAGCATCTTCCTAACCAGAGAAGTGAAAGACCTTTGCCATGAAAACTATAAAACATTGCTCAGAGAACTCAAAGATGACACAAACAAATGGAAAAATATTCCATGTTCATGGATTGGAAGAATCAACATTGTTAAGATGTCCATCCTATTCAAGGTGATCTATAGATTTAATGCAATACCCATTAAATTACCAGTATCATTCTTCTTAGACCTGGAAACAGAAATTCATATGGAATCATAAATGACCACGAATAGCCAAAACAATTCTTAGCAAAAGAAGCAAAGTGGGAGGTATCACACTTCCAGACATTAAACTTTATTATAAGGCTACAGTAATCAAAACATCCTGGTATTGGTACAAGAACAGGTATATAGACCAATGGAACAAGATAGAGATTCTGGAAGTAAAACCTCAATTTCTCAACCAACTAAACTTCAACAAAGTGTCCACTAACAACCACTGGGAAGAGGAGAACTTATTCAGTAAATGGTGCTGGGAAAACTGACTGGCCACATGCAGAAGATTAAAACAAGACCCCTACCTATCACCATACACAAAAATCAACTCTATATGGATCAAAGATCTAAATGTAAAACCTCAAACCATAAGAACCTTAGAAAATGCAGGAGACACCCTTATGGAAATTGAACTGGCAACCAACTCCTGGTCAAAACTTCAAGTGCCCATGTCATAAGAGATAAGATAGACAAGTGGGACCTCATGAAACTGAAAAGCTTCTGCAAAACCAAAGAAACCATCAAGAGAGCGGGGAGACAGCCCACAGACTGGGAAAAAATATTTGCCAACTGTATACCTGACAAAGGCCTAACATCTAGGATCTACAAGGAATTCAAACATGTCAAAAAGAAAAAAACAAGCAGTCCTATTAAAAAGTGGGCAAAAGATCTGAGTAGACACTTTTCAAAAGAAGACATATAAGCAACCAACATATACATGAAAAAATGCTCAGCCTCTCTAATAATCAAAGAAATGCAAATTAAAACTATACTGAGATACTATCTAATTCCAGTCAGGATGACCATCATCAATAACTCAAAAACCAACAGATGCTGGAGAGGATGTGGGGAAAGGGAACACCTCTACATTGTTGGTGGGAGTGTAAACTAGTACAACCTCTGTGGAAAACAGTGTGGTGATTCTTAAAATATCTAAAAATTGACCTCCCATATGTCCCAGCAATCCCCCTTCTGGGAACATACCTGGAGGAGCACAAATCATTCTACAGAAAAGATACCTGTGCACACATGTTTATTGCAACACTATTCACAATAGCAAAAATATGGAACCAACCATGCTACCCATTGAAAGTAGACTGGATTTTTAAAATGTGGTGCATGTACACAATGGAATATTATGCAACCAGAAAAAAGAACAAAATTATGACATTCACAGCAACTTGGGTGGATTTAGAGTCTATCATACTCAGTCATCTATCACAGAAACAAAGAACTGAGTACCATGTGTTGTCATTTGTAAGTGATCCCTGAACAATTATCATAATACTACAAGAAAGGGATTGACAGTAGTGGGAAACTGCCAGGGAGGGGAGCGGGGTGGAGAGCACTTCACATCAATAAATGTACCTGATCTCAAACCAGGTGACGTGGGGACCAAAGTGAGGCCCAAACTTTACCTGTACAATGAACATTTGTATACCTAACCCTGAATTGTACCCCACATCTTTAAAAGAATATCTTTGAATGACTTGAAGACTTCCATTTACTTTA